CGGTGTAGTGACTCTGTGATAATTTTAAGCCATCTTCTTCTTTAATGACTTTCACTCCAACTATCACATCAGTTTCTCCCATATCTTTCATGTCAAACTTACTACATAGAGACCTCTTGGTCTCTTTTATTGCGTTTATGTGTGGACTGAAGATTAACATGTCGTCTACATAAATGCATATAAGAATGGTGTTGGACTTAATCTCCTTCGAGTACAAGCAAGCATCCGATCTGTTTACCGAGTAACCCAGATCTAACAGTGTTTTATGAAACTTCTCATACCACTGTTTGGGAGCTTGTTTTAATCTGTACAGAGATTTTATAAGTCTACATACCTTTCCTTCTTGCTCTAGATCAATGCACCCAGGTGGTTGATCCATGTAGATTTTTTCCTCTAGATCCTCATTTAGGGAAGGCTATTTTTACGTCCATTTGATGGACTATCCACTTGTGGGATGAGGCCAGGGCAAACAACACACGTATTGTGGCTATTTTGGTCACGGGTGAATACGTGCAGAAGTAGTCTTCACCAAATTTCAGTTTATAACCCTTAGCCACAAGTCTAGCCTTGAACCTTTTGATTGACCCGTCTGGTCTTAGTTTTCTTTTAAAGATCCACTTGCAACCAATTGGTTTGGCTCCTTTGGTTAGGTCTACCACTTCCCAAGTGTGATTAGACTTAATTGAGTCTAACTCACTTTGGACAGCTTCTGTCCAGAAGACAGCATCGATTGAGCACATGGCAGCCTCAAAGGACTTTGGTTCCTTTTCTAGGATTAGCTGACATACAAATTGCTCAGAAATTTCATTAACGTCATTTAGCTCAAATATGTATGTAATGAAATCAGGCCCAAAACTCATTTCGGTTCTTTGCCTCTTGCTCCTCCTAGGCTCTTCTGTCTCGATCTCGGTTTGAAAAGGTGGAGGTAGTGAAGAGGATCCTCTTTCAGAGTTAGTTGAAGCAAGTTTTAGTGGGAAGACATGTTCGAAGAACTCAGCCTCTCGTGCCTCGCACATAGAGCGACTGTCTATGTACATAAACCTGTATGCAGCACTATTTTCTGCATACCCCACGAAAATTGCTTCTAAAGTTTTAGGTCCAAGGTTGGGTCTCCCAAAAGATGGAAGACCTACCTTAGCTAAGCACCCCCACACTTTGAAGTATTTTAAGTTTGGAGCATAACCTTTCAATAATTCATATGGAGTTTTCTCATACCCTTTATGAGGTATCCTATTGAGGATGCGGTTAGCTGTAAGGGCAGCTTCTCCCCACAGTGAGGTTAGAGCGCACGAGCTTATCAAGAAAGCATTGATCATCTCCTTGAGGGTTCTATTTTTCCTTTCAGCAATGCCATTTTGTTGTGGTGAATAGGGCTCTGTCACTTCATGGATAATTCCATATTTTTCACAAAAGGATTTAAGAGATATGGACTCATATTCTCCGCCTCTGTCAGATCTAAGTCTTTTGATCTTTTTATCTAGCGGATTCTCTACTTTAGTCTTAAAGATAATGAATTTTTGTTCTGCCTCATCTTTAGTTCTAAGCAAATATAATTTTGAAAACCCAGTGAAATCATCTATAAAATATATATAATATTGTTTCCCACCTTTAGTCTCAGTATTCTTAAAGTCAGCTATATCTGAGTGAATTATCTCTAAAGCACACGCAGTATGATGCTTTGCAGTAAAGAACGGTTTTTTAGCTAATTTTGCCTCAGCACATACTTCACATTGGGAAAACGAATCATTTTGTAAGCTTGAAAACATATTCATGGACCAGGACTATGTGGTCTAATGGTACCCGTGTTGGACTTCCATTTGGAAGATTATAAGTTCGAGCCTCAGTGGAGGCGTTATTGGTTCTTTGTGTTTCAGTAGGTTGAGAAAGTATATGAACAGATACTACAATGTAATAGAGCCAGTAACTTTCAAAAAGAAAACATATTCATGGTTTTTAGCCTATTCATGCATTTAAAATCAATATGTCCTAATCTAGCATGCCACACATCAAAGGAAACAATAATATACGCAGAACCGCCAGTGCGAGTGGCAAGATTATTCATGAAAGTTTCAATGTTTGCAGAGGTGTACGCAATGAGGGGTAAAAGAAACAGCCCCCCCCACATAAATAAGCCTTTCCAAGATACCCCCCCCCCCCCCCTACGAGTCATGATCATACGCTCAGACTCAAACACGAGTTTGATCCCAACCCTACCTAACAAGGGCCTTGAAACCAAATTCCTTCGTAGGGTGGGGACATACAACACATTAGACAGAAACATATACTTTCCAGAATAAGTACTATCGTTCCCCATATAGATATGTTTTCCTTGTCCTTGAGTAAAGGCTTGGAACTCTTTGAACATGATCCTACTCGCGCAGAAATGGCGAGTTGCTCCAGTGTCAATAATCCACTCTTCAGTACCTTGCACCACGTTTTCCTCCAAGGTCACCACAGCTGCTATCACCTCAGTTTCTTCAACCACGTTTGCTTGGCTCTTGTTTTCTTGTTGGTTGGACTTCTGTTCGGTTGCCCCCTTCCGATGTTAACATTGGGCTGCGCGATGTCCAGTTTTCCCACAGACGAAACGGGCTCCTCATTTTTCTTGTTTCTGGTTCTTGTTGTTCTTGAACTTGTTGCCATTGTTCACCTTGAACCCCTTCTTCCAGCTTTTGTTTTGTCCTCCATTCCCAGATTTAGACCTATCACCTTTCACACCATTGGATTCTACTATGTTAGCTTTTAAATTATCAGGAATAGAGACATACCTTTGGCGATAAGCATCTTCTATGTTTATGTGGTTGACCATTTGTTCCCAAGAGTAGTCCTTGGATTCGTGCCTTGTTCTGGAATTCACCCCAGGATTCCGGTAGCTTCTCGAGTAAGGCATACGTTTGCAGCATTATACTTACCGGAATACCTTTGGCCTCTAGGTCAGACACCAGGTTTTCATACTCGTGTACCTGCTCGATGATTGGCTTTGAATCCACCATCTTGTAGTTGAGCCAGCACCCAACTGTGTACTTCCCGCGTCTTGCATCATCTGCTCCGTACTTCTTCAACATCTCCCAGATCTCCTTTGATGATCGGTACTTTGCACATATGTCTAATAGATTGTCGGTCATATGGTGCAACAAAGTACCACGAACGGTTTTGTTATCCCTTTCGTACTTGGTATGAACTTCTTGGGACTTGTCAGATGACACGGATGATGGGGTTTTGGGATCAGGCATTTTCGGGTCTGGAGTGTCATCTTGATTTTCAGGTTGAGAGGATTCAGCACTCTTAGATTGAGTGGGCTCAGGATCAACTTCCAAAATATATTCTAGCTCAACAGATTCAAAGTAGATCATCATCTTAACAGCCCACCGACGGTAATTGAGGCCATTAAGTGGTTGAAGTTTGGCAAGGTCAGAAGCTGGCTTGGAGACGAAGGTCGACATTGTTTTCTGTTCAAATTGCTTTTAACTGTTGGGAAATTGCAAAAAAGAATGTCATAGCTTTCGGCTACTTTGTTGTAGACTAAGAACGGAAAGGAGAAAGGAATCCCTGACGTGTACGAGACACTACCTTAAAAGCAATTTGCTGGAAACTACGTGAGTCTTTTAACCCGGTAGCTTTCAATTCTGACTCCACAAATTAATTGTGGACAGGAGAGACTCTTCACAAAACAAATTCTGGATGGGAATTCTAACTGAAAAATTGGGGAAAAAAAACAGAAGGGGGCGCAAAATGTCAACCCCGACCACACTGCAATGCGCGTTCGAACCGAACGGAATGACCGGGCGGTGACGATGCGCGCGTGTGGAATTCCCCCTTACTTTTTCCTCCATAATAATTCAAGTACTCCAATTGGGTTGGTGAATAAAAAGGGAGAAAAGTTCCCTTGTGAAAGCAACGTGGGACAAGTAGAAGTCTCTTCTTCCATGACTTCTACACATGATTGAATGTAAACTCCAACATATATATATATATATATATATATATATATATATATATATATATATATATATATATATATATATATATATATATATATATATATATATATATATATATATATATATATATATATAAGGGATCATGTGCATTTGAGGCTTCCCGTGCAGTTGTGCGGGTGGACGCACGTTAAGCATTAATCTGACGCACTTAAAGTACACAACACACGCACATTAAGCACACAAATCTCACGTATGTTAAGCACAAGCCTCACACATGTTAAGTACAAGTCTCGCGCATGTTAAGCACAAGCCTCACGCATGTTAATCACAAAAACACACGTACCTTAAGTTTTAAAAACAACTCACATTAAGTACACACTCACGCAAATTAAGTACAAAACTCACGCACGTTAAGCACACGACTCACGCACATTAAGCGCAAAACTCACGCACATTAAGCATGAAACTCATGCACGTACTTTAAAGTTTCAACAACAACTCACATTAAGTACACACTCACGCACATTAAGCACAAAACTCACGCACATTACGCACAAGACTCACTCACATTAAGTACAAAACTCACGCACATTAAACATTACACACTCACGCACATTAAGTACAAAACTCACGCACATTAAGCACAAGACTCACGTACATAAGGTACAAAACTCGTGCACATTAATCACCTGCACAACCGCACGGGAAGCATTCACCCGCACTGGAACTTTATATATATATATATATATATATAGGGTGGTTTTCTGGTGCAAACCATTTATTTATGTGTGAACCTGTGCACTCATCTGGAGCGTTGATTATGTACATCCTAACGCCCACGATGAGCGTCCACCCCGTTACATTGCACTTGCACGCATGATGACAAGCCATGCAAATATGTAAAATTGGTTACTTATTAGTGAAGCCTACTCCAACTATGACTCTTACACATAGAATCCCGCCACCAACACTGCTTAGAGTTCCGGACAAACGACCTTGAATTCTGATATCAACACTGCCGAGAATCCCGATACCAACAACGCTGGTCACGTGGTGACGATGGACGCGCACGGTGATGGACACCCGACGGCTGGTGCGGTTGAGCACGGTGTGACAGGTATTCTCCCCACCCCCTTGTTATCTTTTGATGTGTTGCTGTACGATCGCATTGCGGCGTTTTTTACCTCTACCCACCCGCCATTTATGGGAATGCACCGTCACTGGCATCCAAACAAAACCCGAATCCTCTCCCCGCCACCATTCTGAGTGGTAATGTTTTGGAATTTTTTTTTTTTTTTGTCGTCCCTCCAATACCCCCAGTTGAACGCCCAGAGACCATAATCTCTAATTCCCCCAATCTGCATTGTGGCGTAAGCCGCCCCCCCCCCCCCCCCTCCCCATCTGAACTGTGGGATACTGTTCATTAGTTATGCATCGATGCATTGATGCACACTGTGTTAAAGTTTCTGTGCAACACTGGTTACTAATTAGACTAATGCAACACTGTGGTTTAATAATCCTACTAATGCATTGTATTGAATTGGAATGCATCCCCCTAGCAGTACCTCTACAAATCTATTTTATAATATAAATATATTCTACAGAATAAATTGAAATATGAAATTAAGATATTTTTTGTAGTTAAGTTATAAAATAAATATAATGCTAAATTTGAGTTGTTATTCAGTTTATATATTTATAGAATTATTAGAATCTTGGAGTTAAAGTTGGTTGTGACTACTACAGGGTCAATTGACGGTGATTTCGGTACTAGAGATGCAACGCACTACACGCCGGGGAAAACCAACACCCTCAACCAACACTGGAAACCCAACGTGGACACTACAATCATACCTGTACTCGGGCAGTGTTTTAAATCAGTATACGAAGGGGTTGAATTCTACAAGATCTACGGGCGAGCTAGTGGTTTTGACGTCAGGCAGAGTAGTGTTAAGCGAGATCGTAGCGGGGATGTTATCCGACGTTCTTTAGTATGCAGCAGACAAGGAGCCAAAGGAGGGGGTGGGAGGAAACCCACCTTAGACGTCCGTGGTACTAGTAGTAGCAATAAGCAACGACGGAGAAGGGTTTCTAACAGAGTCGGGTGCAATGCAAAGCTTGGGTTGAAGAAAAAGAGTACTGGGGAGTTTGTGGTGTCTAAATTTGTCGAGGACCACAACCATAGTTTGTGCTCTGAGGGTGCTAAATTATTTATGCGGGGTAACCGGAAACTTAATGTAACCCAACATGCATTTTTAGAAGATTGTCTTAAAGCTAATGTGGGCCCTTCTACAGGGTTCAGATTATGCAGGGAAGTGGCAGGTTCGTTTGAGAACGTTGGTGCAACATATGTGGAATTTCATAATTTTAAACTGGACTTGCAAACGTATGTCGATGTGGCTGATGGTGAGATGATTATCGAAAGGTTCAAAACCAAGCGTGGAGCCTGTGACAGTTTCTTTTTCGATTACCACCTTGACGAAGAGAACCGCATCGCACGGCTCTTTTGGGCCGACCCTATTGGTAGGCGGAGTTTTTCTTGTTACGGTGACGTGATTTCGTTTGATGCCACGTACAGCACGAACAAGTGTGCAACATATTACATTTCAATAGCATAGCAATGGGTTTTTAATTTTTTTTCCCTTTATTTTAGTTTAATATTTCTGCCAGTAAGTTTGTCCATATAATGCCTATCCTACATTACCTACTGAGTAATAATCCACGGTTAACCCCCATACTGATGGACTTTTCATCTTTATTTGTTCGCATTGCCTTCTAATTGCAGGTACAACTTGGTGTTTGTCCCATTTACTGGAGTAGATAACCACAAACGATGCATCACTTTTGCCGCCGGGTTGCTCAGTAAAGAGGATGTGGAATCGTATAGTTGGCTGTTAGAAAGATTCAACCTTGCAATGGGAAAGGCCCCTCTATGTGCTGTCACCGATCAGGACCCTGCTATGAAGATTGCTATGGAGCAGGTTTTACCAGGGTGCCGTCACCGTTTTTGCATGTGGCACATTATGACGAAGGTTAGTGAAAAAGTCGGTCCTGGGTTATCAAACAATGAGGAGTTCCGCAAGAGTTTGAATGATATTGTGTGGAACGAAACAACCTCTACCGGTGACTACGAAGTGCAATGGCAGCTGCTGATGGAGAAATACAACTTATCTGATCACCGGTGGTTTCAAAAATTGTATGCAGAAAGGGATCATTGGATTCCAGCTTTTTTTTTTTTAGATTTACCAATGAGTGGGTTGGTACGCACCACATCCCGGTCCGAAGCACAGAACAGTGTTTATGGGAAGTTCACACGCCTCCACTCCAGTTTGGTAGAGTTCTACATGCAGACCGAGAGCGTCCTTGACACACAACGCCACAATCAAGCTAAACTGGATGCACAGTGTGAGGGGTCCTTGCCCGAGTTTAAAACTCCCTTGGCGTTAGAGCGGCACGCTGCAGATTTGTTCACACTAACTATTTTTTATGCTTTGCAGAAAGAGATTGAAGCTGCCTGCTTTTATTGCGAAGTTGTGGGCATCCGTGAAGATGGGGGACCATTTATTACAACATCGGAGGAGATTGCACCACCACGCACACTGTACAATACGAATCGAGCGGGTGTATTGCTTTTTGCAGCTGCAAGATGTTCCAACGATTGGGTCTAATTTGCAGACATATGTTCCTAGTGTTCAAGTCCGCACATATAGAGCAATTACCATCCTAGTACGTTGTGGAACGTTGGCGCAAGCACCTAGGTTGCGGTGCATGCAGAGGGCGGCGTTCTGATGGTGACCCCCCAAAATCAGGTGCCTCAGAACTGTGGTCTGAGATACAAACATGTGTTGGGATGGTTGGTGAGAGCACGGTCCGTCAGGCTCGGATGGTAGAGGTACTGAAAGAGTTGAGAGATGAATTCGCGAGTGACGGCACGATCATCTGTGTAACACCCCGTGTTACGACCCCTAAAACCATTTAATTAATCAATCAATAAGCCCAAGAGAAGGAATAAATCATAATGATCAATTAGGGAAAAAGGCCCACCGTAGTCCATGGGCCCTCATATATAAACCCAACCCCTAAACCCAATCCTTAGTTCCGAAAGAAATAGAATTAGCAAGCCTATAGTATTAATTCCTGATTAGGACTCCTAAATATATAAATAAGGGACTTAGGAGACACCTAGAACTTCCCACACGCCTAAACGCCCCACCTCCCCAAGAGAGCTCCAAGAATTCCCTTAGAAGAAATCAAGAAAGCTTAAAGAAAGATCCTTCATAGCCAAGGAATTAATTAAGGCTAAGAGGTAACCCATGTCTCAACAAAACCTATTTTCATAGCTATGATTTCCCCTTAGGGTTTCCCCCATATGATTGTAAATGGCGAATTACTATGATTATTATTGATGTTGATTTAATGATTCCATGGGGAATCTTGATAATCTTGATATTTGGAGTTTCTTGATAATTGTGATGTTCTTGATGATTAATTGGGATTCTTGATGATTTCGTGTTGTTCTTGATGATTATGATGTTCTTGATGATTAATTGGTATCCTTGATGATTATGTGTTGTTCCTACCGAATCTTGCAATTAGAAGATGAACCGTATTCTTGTTGATATAAAAGTGATTAGAACCCTAGGTTGTACCGTATACTTTGATTCTTGGATTATCAGGTGGGAAATTGCATGTTTGGGTGTTGATTATGTTTAGAAAAGCATGATAGGCCATGTGCCGTTCGTTTCCCGTATCTGATCCGTTAATTGTCTACTTATTGTTGTTAATTGCGTTGTAAAGTGTCTAAGCATGGTTTCGGGTTCCACAACGGTTCCCGGGGCGAAAAGTGATGAAAAGAGTCAGTGGGGGGGTAGGTGGGGGTAGGGGACCCGCCACCTACCCGCGGCATTCTCGGGCAGCTCCGGCAGCGGGCAGCCGGCGGGCGGGCAGCTACCCGCCGGGCACCCGCTGCCCGGAACAGTGGCAGCCGGCGGACAGCCGGCGGGTGGACCCCCACCCACCGGCTACCCGCTGGAAATTACACTACCTCGGGCTCCCGGTCTCCCCGTTTGATGTTTCCCCGATCCCCGTGGTGTCCCAACGGACCCCGTTGTCGTGCCTATGTCTAGTTTGATGTTTCGGGTACCGTTCGTAGGTTTATGAGTCTGTTATATCGCATGCTAGATGAATTGGTATCCCGTTGACCTAGGTGAAGGAAGTATGAACCCCTTAGGACTATTCTTAGTATGTGATGGATCACGCATAGGTTTGTTATACGCTTTATTCCCCTTCCCAATGTGTAACGTGGGTTGCATGTGCTTGCTATGTGTTATGTGTGGGTGCTACCCCAATTCGGTTGCGATCGGATTGGTTATCCTGAGCTGCGGTTCAGAAGCTGGCTGCGGTCAGATTGGTATTCCTGGCTGCGGTCAGATGACATCCTCTTGGGCTGCGGTCCACCGTTTGGTTGCGATCAAACGTTTCTATACGAGCTGCGGTTCGTCCTTTATCCTGGCTGCGGTCAGATGACACTCTCTTGGGCTGCGGTCCACTGTTTGGTTGCGATCAAACATTATGATGAGCTGCGGTTCATCAGTCGGTTGCGATCGACCTCCCCGTGTTGTGATACGGGGCATGGTGCTGCGGGGCTGTGTCAGAGCTATATGCGCTGACCCTCATGTATGGGCATGCGATCGGTCCCGTGGCGCCAACAATGTGCGCTATGTGTGTGATATGGACGAATTGTGACTATGAGTGCCTTGGGGGATGTGACTATGGGATTTATATTGGGGATTGTCATGCTGGGTTATGATTATCGTTTATGCTTGGCCTTATCTGCCTTATCTGTTGTGAACTGCATGTGCTCGTTATAACTGTTGATTGTGTCTGGCATTACCTGTCGAGTCATTCCCGGTTTTGAAAGCTAGAGTTCGTAGGATATATCTTCATGCTCATAATGGTTTTTGTATATCTATATATATCTCTATATGTATTGTATTTCAACGCGTTGGAGTGGGTTACTAGCACCTCTCGCTGAACAGATATATTTGGCTTTCAGGCACAGAAGAATAAGTCACTGGAGTGCGCTAGAACTCGGAACGTAAAAGTAGATAGTTCCCTTCTCGGCCTGCGTGCCATATTATGCATTTACATTATTGAGGATATTAGTTAGTTAGCCTGTGCACCTGGGTTCTCCAGCTCAGGTGTGGCATAGCACCCCGTACACTTGTATTATGTTTTGGGACTCAATGAGATAATACCCTTATTTTATAAGTTTTAAATGTCTTGAAAATCTGGGGTGTTACAGTTGGTATCAGAGCCTAAGTTTGACCCTAGGAAAAGACTCTTAAAGACCGGACTTTAGGACGTTAGGCTTGAGCTCTAAGTACCTAGGAACATAGGACTCAGGAATCTTAGGACGCGCGGTGAGATTGTGAAACCTACACATAACTCCCCTACACGTTGCCCTTCCCCATTCTAAAACCCTTCCCCACTTATCACTTCACCAGAAGTGCGTCGAACTCTAACTTAACATTCTTATAAACACTGACCAGAAAGACGACAGCATGGCACCGAACAGAAGGCAATCAAGGACTCCGGAACCCGCCACCAACGACCCCTTGACCCAAACCCTACAGCAACTAACACAAGTCGCGCAGGCGCTAAGCGACGCGGCCCTTCGCAACACCAGGCCCCCACCGCCTCCGGTGAATACAAACTCTGACGTTGCTCGACAAGTCTCGAATCACCGACCACCCACGTTCTTCGGAGAAGAGGACCCTGCAGTCCTGGAGGAATGGATTCGGACCCTTGACAAGATTCTAGGGGTAGTAGAATGCCCAGAGGAGCGTCGTGTAGAAATAGCCTCGTTCTACTTCGGGCACGAGGCCGACCTCTGGTGGATCCACGAAGGACCCACCCACCGACAAGAACCAGGGTTCAACTGGGAAAGCCTCAAGGCACGATTACGTGAACGGTTCTACCCAACCCACATAAAAGCATCCATGTATGAAGAGTTCCTTCATCTAAAGAAAGGGACGGCCACCGTCGTGGAGTACCATAAACGATTCCTCGAACTGGCGCGCTTCGCACCCGAACTTGTCCCCACCGAGGTGACCAAGGTAGAAAGATTCGTATCGGGCCTCAACTTCGAAGCCCGGAAGGCACTAGTAGTAAGTAGGCCCCGGACCCTCAACGAGGCTTACGTCAGTGCCGCGAACCTCTATCGGATCCAACTACTTCAACGCGGAGCTCAGGAACAAATGCGAAGAAGGAACACCGGAAGTGGGGCACCACCGGTGAAAAGAACAAGGAACGACATCGGCACGGGATCAAACAACCCGACTAACCCAAGACCGCCCCCGGGAAGCAACGAAGCAAACCCAAGAAACTTTCCTTGCCCGAGATGCAACAAAAGTCACAGAGGCAAGGACTGCGCAGGCAACCCCTGGCGATGCTTCAACTGTGGGGAGGAAGGACACAAGGCCTTCCAATGCACTCGGCCCCAAAGACCGCGTCCCACCACCACGGGCCAACACGGGGGTACCGGTCACCAAGGGGGCTACGGCGCTCCCGGAAAAGTATTCGTCATGAGTCAAACGCAAGCCGACCTCGGAAACGAAGAAGGCCTAGAAGGGGAAAACCCAATCCCTGAAGACGAGGACCATACGAACCCCGCCGAAGAAAACCCCGAAAGCGAGTTCTGTCTAGGATAAGCCATCACCCCCTTGTAACCACCCCCTGTATCGTATAAACCACTTATTTAGTTTAATTACTTCGGGAGCATTATGTCTACTTAGCTTAGCTACTTAGAAAGTATTATGAATAAAGATTCCTTTTCATTCAAATTCCGATTCCACTACGAGAGTAAAACACAAGTTATGCCATCCAACCAACCCTTCCTCACTAAAAGACGAAACAAGGAAAAGGACAAAAATCACCTCATCAAGAAATGCCTAATGTCACCACTAGGGATTGAACCTTAAACCTCCTATTTATAAGTCCAAGTCCCAACCACCAAGCCATGAGTGTTTCTTGAAACCTCAAGGGGACACTCCCTTGTTAAATCCCTCTAAATCCCTAAAACCCACAAAATCCCCAAATCAAAAACCCTTCTTCTCCTTCTTCTTCTTCTTCTTCCTCTCTCTCTCTCTCTCTCTCCCCACACCCTCTCCTCCTCCCCCTCGCATACCCCACTGCCCCACCACAGCCACCACCTCCCACCGACGCCGCCACCGCCCGGACGCACCCCGGCAGAGCCGCTCGCCTCGCCGCCGTCCAGACCAAGCCGCCGGAGACCACCCGCCATCCGCCCGGAGTCCGCCCAGCCGAGACCCGCTGCCGCCTCCACCGAACGCCAATCCCACGCCATCTCCTCCTCATCGTGAACCCCGCCTCGCCGCCGCCTCCCCCGCAGCCGGAAGACGCCGCCTCGACACCCGCCGGAGCGCTGCCCACCTCGCCGGAGACTCGCCGGAAACCTCGCCGGAAAATCCACCGGAAAAGTACCACCTATCGCGATGCCAAAGAAACCCCTCGGAATCCGCACCCCGGAGTGGAACAATGCCGATTACACCGTGATCGGAGGTAAAGCACTTGAACCCGACCAATTCTCTCCGGAATTGGTTGATATGCTTAAACACCAAGGACTTTTAGATACGTATCTCACCAT